ATGCATTGGAGATGCTCATATACCTTAGTGTCTATTTTTTAGACATTGGTATCACATAAATTGGAAGTCTTGCCAATTTTTGTGTCACTTGGATGGCAATACATAGAATCACCGAGAGGCTCTTAGGGATGACAATAAAAATTGTCCGCTCAAACTCTCATTTATTAAGTTATTATATTTTTAAAATTACTTTATATTCTTCACTTCAACCAAATGTGTAAAAGATTCTAACCGCACTTAAAAGCTGATTACTCTACTTGAGTTAGCAACCCAAAAAAATATAAAAAATTTAAACATAATTTAAATATTAAAATTAAAGGGTGTGTAGATACACTCTAAATCAATTAAATTAGAGAAAAGAAATTAGATTAGGTAATCAAACAATTTAACTAAGAAATTTTGTGTGCAAAATACGGACGATTGTCAAATATTTAAAATAAACATATACATATTTTTCATCACCTTGGAGTCCTCAAAAATACCCCCAAAGAAAAAAAAGGGATTCAAGAGCAAGGAAAGTATGAAAAAAAAAGTTTTTGCATGAGAAGAACAAGAGAATTTGTCATTGAAAATTGATGCATTGATTGCAAGTTGTAATTGAGATATTTATTGATTTGATTATAATGGGAAGAAAAGTTTATGAGGTTTTAAGAAAAGAAATGGGGAAAAATGGGAAGAAAAAATGGTCTTTGATTTCAATTTATTGGGCTAGCTTTAGTGCCTAATGAATTGGATTTTATTTGTAACTTTTCTTTTTTGTGGAAATTACACCTACCTAGATTTTTAAAATATGCGATTCAAAAATAGATTTAAAGAATTTTTTTTTTTAAAATTCAAATGCTCTTCTAAATATTAAAAATTTAAATTTAATCTACATATTCACCCTTTCATTTTCAAACCCTAATAATTTTTTCTTATTATTTTTTCTCTCTCTCTACCCTCTTTCTTCTCTCTGTCATCTCATTCTCTATCTATTTTCTCCCTCATTTAACAATTCCGTCAGAAGATGAGAAGGTGGCATCGGAAGACGTTATCAAGAGGCATTGCAATGTCGTTGCAGCAGCGGTATTGTTCGCGCGACATGTGCGCTCTGCCGTTCACAATTGTCTCCAATAGTAGCGCCGAGGCTACTACGAACTCACAGTGGTTTTGCATGATGGTGTACCTACCGCTATCGTAGAAAAATTTGGGAAGGGGTGGTCAAGGTGGTCGTGGCTATGGTGCGGTGGTCGTGGGTCGGGATGTAACAGGATGGAGTGTTCACTGTTCACGACTAATTAGTTGGTTGATTGTGATTTACAAATTGGTTAATTTCTGATCTAGAAAAAATGATTGTGCCTATCAATTTATTAAGTTGTGATCGAGTAATTATTTGTGATCAATTAATTTGATAATTTGTAATCATTAAATAAGTTGTGACTTATAAAATTTGTACTTTTGTAACCGATTAATAAATTGTGACATATAAAATTTTTGATCTATGAACGAAAATAATTTGCGACTTATAAATTTTTCATCTGTAACTCAGAAAAAATTTGTGACCTATAAAATTTTCTATTTGTGACCAAATTGTATAGAATTATGATCTTAATATATTCAATTAACAAAACATATTTTTCATTAATTATTTCATAAATAAAATGTAATTAATATCTAATTTTTGAAGTTTTGAAATGTGTAATATTTAATTTCTTATATATGAATTTTTTCATTTCTTTTTTTCTTAATAAAATATTCATTATTGGAGCATCTCCATGAGATTTTTAAATACAAAATGCTCTTTATTTTAGTAAGTCAATACTTAAAGAGGAGCTATTAGAGACTCTTTATTTTAACTTTTTAAGTAAAAATAGAGAATGGATTTTTCTTCAAATTTAAAGAGTCAACTCACTTTCTATTCTTAATGTATAATAATTGCATTTAATAAATTACATATTTCAATAGTCCACTTCTTAAATTATTCAAACCACGTTTAATTTGATTGGTCCATTAACAGATAAATAATCATGCTAGATAAAAAATGAAGAAAAATCAATAAATGTATTTTGAGAAAAGCAAAATGAAGAATCAAAGAGAGCTCGTTGGAGTAAAAAAAAATTTTGATTCCATCGATTTATAAATACTCTCTAGATACATAAGATGCTCTTAAAAAGATAAAAATAAAAAGCGTCAATTTCAAAATTGAATTATGCTATTTGTAATTACAAATAGTATATAAGAGATCACATAAAATGATATGAAGGGATAAAATTGGATAAAAAAATTAACTGTATTTTAAACTGACAAATAATAGAATGACATATAACATTATGTAACATATTATGTAAAGTTTGATACATATGTAGCAAGGACCTTCAAAATTTTGGAACCTTCCTGTTTGGTCCCATTAAAATTATAAATTATTTTTCTCTATCTTCTTATCAACCACACATTCAATAAAATAATATTATACGTAATTCAAATTTTTTTTTTCTTTTTTAATCACACATTCTTAAAAAAAAAAAAAAAAAAAAAACTATTTCAACCATTAAAATCTCAAAAATGTTCGCCAAATGGGAAAATGCAAGGCCTTAGACGACTACATAGGTAGCTTTATGGTCGAGTCGACTCATGGATTCAAATTAAAAAGGGTTAATTTCACAAACGGTCACTGAACTTTAGAGAAAATTACAAAACGGTCACTAAAATTTAAAACTTTCAGTAACGGTCGCTTCAGTTTTGGGACGCTTTCAAAAATGGTCACTGAAGTTTAAAAACTTCAGAAACGCTCACCGAAGTTTTTTTTCCAGTTTTTTGGGCTACTTTTGCGACAACTTTCTATCATTTTCGACCATCAATACCACCAAATTTTGACACCGTTGAAAAGCCCACAATGTCCTCTTCCATTACTACCCAAAATCTCCTCATAACTCCAAAGAATTTGACTGGAAAATTGCCGCAAAAATCGCTAAAAAAATCTAAAAATCTGCTAAAATCTTCAGATTTTTGCAGCAATTTTCCTGTGAATTCCGACCACCAAACCGGCTAATTTTGGGTGGTAATTGAAGAGGAGATTGTAAGCTTTTCAACGATATCAAAATTCGGCAAAATTGATGGTCGGAAGTTGCCGAAAAGTTGCCGCAAAAGTATACCGAAAAACTGAAAAATTTGCCCAGATTTTCGCCTTTCCGGGTAGCCAATTTTGTGGGTTTATTCCGGCCTAATCTTTTGGATTTTGGGGGGATATTTTTTATGATAATTGAAGAGAACATTGTAGGCTTTCCAACGGTATCAAAATCCGATGGTATTGGTGGCCGGAAGTTGCCAGAAAGTTGCCTCAAAGTAGCCCATAAAATTTGAAAAATCTGTCCAGATTTTCGCCTTTTCGGATAGCAAATTTTGTGGATTTATTCCTGCCGAATCCTTTGGAATTTAGGGGAGATTTTTGATGATAATTGAAGACGACATTGTAAACTTTCCAATGGTATCAAAATCCAGTGGCATTGGTGGTCGGAAGTTGTCGGAAAATTACCTCAAAAGTAGCCTAAAAAATCAGCCCACATTTTCGCCTTTTTGGATAGCCAACTTTGTGGGTTTATTACAGCCACATCCTTTGGAGTTTGGGGGATATTTTGGATGGTAATTTAAGAGGATATTGTGAGCTTTCTAACGGTATCAAAATCCGACAATTTTGGTGGTCGAAAGTCGTCGAAAAATCATCGCAAAATTGGCCCAAAAAATTTGAAAATCTGGATAGATTTTCCGATTTTTTGGGCGAATTTTGCAACGTTTTTCTAGTTGAATCCCTTGGAATTATGGGGAGATTTTGGTGGTAATTGAAGAGGACATTATGGTCTTTCCAACGGTATCAAAATTTGATGGTATCGGTGATCGGAAGTAGCCAAAAAATTACCGTAAAAGTAGCCCAAAAAACTGAAATTTTCTTGACCATTTTTGAAAGAATCATTTTTGAAAGCGCCTGAAAATTTAAGTGACCGTTACTGAAAGTTTTAAATTTCAGTGACCGTTTTGTAATTTTTGCCTAAGTTCAGTGACCATTTGTGAAATTAACCCAATTAAAAATGCTAAAAGAAACGTAGGCTGAAGATTGTTGGACTGTTATTGTTGGTAAAGTCAAGGTAAAAAAATCTTCATTAAAATAAATTGGTGAAAATATTTTAAATAACATTTTGAACTTATTTTTCAAAGCAGCAAAATACTGAAGACATTTTTGAAGTCCTAAATCAAGTCTCCTTTGTCCGGTTTGGTCTCCATTTTTCAAAATTTTAATTTTTTTAAACTTATTTTTATCTATATATTTTATGAGACCCTAATCTTTTATCAACTTTTTAATCAAATTTTTTTTAAACAAAATTTGCTAAAAATCTAATTTTTATTTAAATCAAACAGGTGTTTTGAGTCTTCCGCAATCTCGTAAGGACTATTGAGAAATTCTGATCTGAAATTAAAATGTAGTTTGGCCCTCATTGTCTTTCATTTTTTTTTCTCTTATTTTTAATCACACAATTTTTCATAAAATAGTATTATACGTAAATCGAAACTTTTCATTATTTTTTAACCACGCATTCTTTAAAAAAAGCTACTTCAAACATTAAAATTTCGAAAACTCATTTCTTACAAAACTAGCCAAGATTAAAATGATAATAATAGGTAAAAAATTGAAAAATAAACCGACCATTTTATCCTCCTCTTGAAATCCAAAAGTAATAATGAGATGTCGAGTCTAGATCTGCTGTCCTATTTTGCTGTCCATCCAATTAATTTTTGACATGTCATCAATAATTAATATGTTATCTCAGATTTATCCTCATTAATTTCATCACTAATTTACTAAATTAATGATGTGTCAAGAATTAATTAAATGGATAACAAAATGGTCAGCAAAATTGGACAGCAATTCTTGATTCGGGGTCGCTGAGTAGTCGGGTCAGCGTCGATTAGCCAACTTTTAATTACACGAAGTTACACGTCAGTTTGCATTTTCACTTTGTCCTCTTATAAATGTTTCCACTGATACACACATATTCAAACGGAAGACTACAGGATAGTCCATCTATACATATTTTGAAGCTCTTAAGTTTTCATAAGAGCGTTTCAGAATATGGGTGAGGTAAGTACAAATTTCTAGTTGTTGATTCAATCTACTAAACAGTTTTACTTTCTGTTTCTTAATCCTATTAGGGTAAATTTTCTTCATAAAAAAAGATTTAGAGATTCCATTCGTTCTTTTATACCGTTTTACTGATATGTATTCTGTATATGTTTTCAAAGGAGAAGAAAGAAGAAGTAAGCAAAGAGGAGAAGAAAGAAGAAGGAAACAAAGATGAAGAGCCTCCTCAAGAAATTGTGCTCAAGATCGACATGCATTGTGAGGCTTGTGCAAGAAAAGTTGCAAAATCCTTGAAAGGATTTCAAGGTCATTTTTACTTATAATCTTGACAAAATTTGCACCTTAAGTGTCTTTTTTAGAACCTCGGATCACTTATTTTTGGTCTTAAACATACAGCCGAATTTATTAAAATAACACAAAATGAAGATTTGAATATTAGGTTGGTTAATTTATCTTTATATTGCATGTTTAGCACGTTTTTCAATTCAACTGTTCATTTTTTAATATTTGTTTACCCACAAAATGATGCTAAGAATGCTAACAATCTTATTCCTGGGAAAATGTGTCACTTTTTTATATAATTATAATGCAAAGAAATCTGAATAACTTTAACAGGAGTGGAGGGTGTAACGGCGGATTACAAGGCCAGTAAAGTTGTAGTGAAAGGCAAAACTGCAGACCCTTTAAAAGTGTGCGAGAGAATTCAAAAGAAGAGTGGTCGAAAAGTCGAAATCATTTCACCATTGCCAAAGCCACCTGAGGAGGTTAAGGAAGAAACTAAAGAGGCGCCCAAAAATCCAGAAAAGAAAGAAGAGGTACCTCTATTTCTTGTTCTATTCCATTCCAGCCTAACCTTGGTATTAAAATTTGAACAAAAACTATTTTAAAAAAAATGTTGTGGGGTGGGGACAGCATGAACTTTAGAATTAACTGTTGGTTGGTACATGCTGTGTAGACGCCAGCTTGGCCTGGCCTCAGTGCAACTTGTGAATGAGATATATCTTTACTGACATTGAAAAGCATAGAAGAGAAAAAATAGGGAAGAGGACACCCACTGGGCACATTCTACAATGAAAAAGGGTGAGTTATGGCCCTGTTGATCCTACTGCTGTTACACAGATTGCACGTAGAATTCACTGGGCTGAGTCTGAGCAGACCTCACCTATATATCTCTTTTTTACCTAAAATGATGAAATAACTATTGTATTAGGAGTAAAATTTTCCCTTTAAGATGATGAATCATATCTTTCTTGGCTCAATCTTCTAGTTTCTTGGATAATGCTCGTCTTCAATTTTATCCCAAGTTTTGGCTGCTTTGCCTTTTAATTTTTTCACATGGGACCAGACTGAAGTCACTGAACCATATGAATTGTTTTGTCTATGTTCTTTATTGTTTCTGTCTCCATGTTTTCATTGAGAATTGCTGTATTAAATTCATGTTGCGAAGTAGGTAGTTGTAGCCAAAAAGTGCAAGGTACCAATAAAGAAGACGGAACAATTTTATTAGTACCCGGAACTATGAAATTGAAAATGATTCTCTAATTATTTTTACTTAGATTTACATGTATAAACATTCATTTAGGAATGGTATGGAATCTTGGGTTACAAATTGGTGGAATAATAAGGAATATGAAATAGCAACACGACGTATGTATTGCTCTTCCACAGTCCCATTTTCACGTTTTAGGTTGCTCCCATCTGGTTCGAAATTATTATGCGCATTTCCACGAGTAATATACGAGCATCGAAATCATCAAGCTTAATTATGTCATAATTGAATTACTTTAAATAAATGTTGGTTTCTTCCCCCATTTGGCAGCCTCCTGCTATTGTAACAGTTGTATTGAAAGTTCGAATGCACTGTGAAGCTTGTGCTCAAGTGCTGCAGAAGAGAATTCGAAAAGTTAAAGGTAACGACTTTAGCTATTCAAAGTGAAGTCATGCCACAAGGAGTTAATTCACCAATGCATTGTGTGTATTATTGTGCACTGCAGGTGTAGAATCTGTGACAACTGATCTTGCGAACAATCATGTAATTGTGAAAGGTGTTCTTGATCCCGATAAGCTGGTGAGCGATGTGTACAAGAAAACCCGTAAGCAAGCATCGATAGTGAAGGACGAAGAAAAGAAGGAAGAAGAGAAGAAAGTCGAGGAGAAAAAAGAAGAAAAAGAAGAAAAGAAAGAAGGGGAAGAATCTAAGGAAGAAGATGATACGAAAACTGAGATCAAGAAAAGCGAATACTGGCCTCCTCCTAAGTACTATATGGATTACGCGAATCCACCTCAAATGTTCAGTGATGAAAATCCACATGCTTGCTCTGTTATGTAATCGACTCATCTACTTTGAGAGCTTTATCGTTAGCTATCGTACGTTAGATTCGCTATGTATTAGTATATATCAATAACTACAGTGGCCTTTGGTAATACAAGTTTTATGCCCTCTGCAGCAATTTGTCATATGATTCTACATTTTGTTCTTTTAGGGAAAATTATTCTGTATTAAATGGGATATGCATAAATTGCATCTATCCAAGAGTTTTTGCTTGGAAAATTCTGTGAATAGAATTCTCCAGAAACAGCATAAAACTGTCAAGTTGATGACATTATTCAATCTATCATCGTTTGGACCAAGCTAGTGATAAGCTCATTATCTGTGATTGACATTTAGCATTTACAAGATTGTGGTCCTAGAGAATCCTTAATTTCTGTGACTTTAAAACTTCATATACAAACAAATATATTGAAATTTCGAATGCCAGGCAAATCTTGTGAAGGTGCATGTGCTGCCATACTTTTGTGGCTGTGGCATATATTCATCTTGGAAGATTATAAATCGCCCCCACAATTCCACCTTCAAAACTCAGATTAGAAAAGGAGGGTGGGAGCACATGAATTGAACGCTGATTGAAACGCCTTTGGTCCATAAGGTTTGTCGTAAGCCATTGGCAAGCATTCTACTTAAGCTAATGGTACACGTAATATCCCATGAGTGAAAGCTTCGTGTGAAAAAGTCAGTGGTCGTTATATATATATATATGGACAATTTCTCGATTAGTGCGAGTCATCCTTACACAAGGGGTCATGCTCATCTTCTCAATACTGTAACTAATTTTCGATGTTCCAGATGGTCTCTTGCAGTAGTTAGTGTAAACGAAAATGATGTCAAATCTGATTCAGTATCAATAGGGTGGGTGTTAAGAGATAAAACTCATATCGAATAATAATAAAAATACAGACCAATTTATAAGATTTGAACTACTTCTCTAAAGTTGACATTTTAAGATGGAACATAAAAAATCTTAATATATAACAAAGTTCATTAAACTCTAACGAGTAATTCTATCTAATTAAGTCTCAAAAACACAAGCACAGGGTTTCAAGATTGATCATTTTAAGATGAAATTCTTAAGTCTTAATATAGGGGTTCAAATTTAAATGTCTAAGCAAAGACATCAAAAGCCAAGGTCGGATTTGCAGAGTAAATGAGAAAGATGATAATAAACAGAAACAGAAAATTTGAGGGATAAATTCCAAAGCATATGCACGTCAAATACATTTTAAAGCTCCCTATACGGCTTTTTAAATGGACCATAAGGAAGAGTTGAACCTTGCCCAGGCTAAAATCACTTGGCCCAATTCAGCCCCAATCCAATTTTGTTTTTTTTTTTGGGAGGGGGATGATGCTTCCGTTGGAATGCGGAAGTGGAATTATCCAGAAATTAAAAATTCCTTTAATTCAATAAACATGAGATGTTTTATAAAAAATAAAGGATTCGAATTTTTACCTAAATTCGATGATCAATTCTTGAATTAATTCTGAATCACGAACTTCCAACTTTTTAATTTTTAGAACTTGATGCTTCAAACGGGTGGGTGTCTTCTTTTAATTAAATCAAGAAACTAATTTTTGAACTGGACAATTGAAAAAATCCAAAAAAATAATTTTCTCTCTCTCTAAATTTGAACACCATGAAATTATGTATTATTATTGTTGTTGTTGTACAATTTCATAGGATGTCTATATTTCATCTAATCTCTATTTATAGGGATAGAAAAGTTCTAATCCTTATAGAATAATAATTACACTTCAAATAGGAATTCTAATTAAAATTCAAGTAGGAGTTTTAATTAAAGTCCAAATCCAATTAGTTTATATTTAATTACATGCGTAATTCTAGAACTTCAATTACAATTATAATTAAATTCACAAATCTCATAATAATTACAATTAAGTACAAAATTTTATATAATTACAATTAAGCCTAAAACTATTTTAATTACCGTAATTAAGTTTCAATACTTTATGGAACTACCATAGGGACTTGATCGGACATATATTATCCAAACTCCAATAATTAGATCATTTCTAGTCAACTTTAGACCTCTCAATCTAATTATTAGTCTTTTCTTTTTCCACTAAAAGCAAAAGATTGAGCTCTTGGAATATATAAGATCACAGAAGCAATAAATTTGTAATACTTTTCTTTGACCTGCTGCATATGTATTTTATCCTTTTTGAGATCCGATAATTAGGTACGAGCATAAATGACTGTTTTATGTTTCTAATTATTCTCACTAATTTAAGTTTTATTTTCTTCAATGGTCCTGTGAACTAACCAAAGATGCCAAAATTTAGTCATCGCTAAAAACTAAGCTCAAATTTTAACCGTTCAACAGAAAATATTTAAGTAATCACTTTACCCATTTTTCAGGGTAACGGTTCTCAACACAAATTCATGTTGTTTATTCTGCTCATTCTCAAGTTTCCAACTCATCAAAATATTTGACCAATTAAATTGATCTCGTCTATTGATAAATCAAAGAACCATTAAAATCACAAAAAGATATACATAATATTATTAAGGGATTTAGATAAAATACACAGCGGCCTAGTAAAATTTAATTCTCTGTACGATCATGCTATAGAATTAAATTTGACAGGCGGTCTGTTCAATACACTCCAAATGTACTAGTGCCACTTTTTAACTATTTCTGTGATAAGGACAAGTTACAAACCTTAATAGTAAATCGATCAACACTACAATCTTCCAGTACAAGGTGCCAACCCTTATACATGGGTTGTAAACAACTTATTTATTATCAAAATATAAGTTGTGTCACACCGTACTTCTCAACGCAAATATCTAACTCATTTTATCTCAAGTGATTATAGACACTTTAATTTGCATGCTCAATAATAAATAATGCAATAAATAAATAAAATCACAATTTATTTATTATAAATTATTATTTTATCATAGCAAAATATACTATATGGGCATACAACCCAACAGCTACTCTCCTTGTGCAAATAGCGATGGTTTAGCATGCTGCCACCCAGAAACATGGCAAGATGACATTCTGAGAGGTCATAAAAATGCTATGGGAAGATTCTTTTGCAATAGGGTTAGATTCACTTCTTCCCCTCAAATTGTTTCTCATTCAAAGAAATTTCACTTTTAGCACTCAACTCCCTCGAGTTTTCAATCTTTTCTCTATCAATCCAAATGCTAACTCGCAGTCCAAATTATTAGTAGAATGGATTGTTTGCACCTCGCATGATATAAAGAAGGGCACATTTAACCTTACAACAAAAGCATGCATGATGCTAAAAAAAAGTTCTAAAAAAGTATATAAAGCTTAATACCCACAAGAAAGCTGCAACCTTCCTGATATCCACCATGGCAGCCTCGTATAAACAGCAATCGAAATAGTCAAGAATGCACACTTTGACAATCCAATTACTATGATTAACTAACGCCTATTATAAATCACAGTTTTGCCACTCAAACCAACTCACCACATCTACTTACGCCATTGTCCACACTGTATCTAGCATGTATATTTCGATTAGCTGACAAGATTCACAGATAGGAAGGAAGAAAGAAAGTACAGGTATCATTCACAGTTTCCTCTTCCTAGGTCATTCTCTACAAATTGATGCAACTGCAATAAACCTAGTATTTCTTTTGTGGAACGAGTATCCCCTATTTTTCTATATAGTCAAAATTTTGAAAATTATAGGAGGATTTATGGATTGATAGGGGTGGCAAACGGTAAAACGATTATCGTCTAATGTTGTTTTGTCGAAGAGAGAGGTGTCTTTACTGTGGCAAATTTTCTTTTCATATTCCCACCAAAGGTGTTGCTAATTTCGGAAAATATAGAAATCAGGAGGCGCTGAGATATACGGAAGAAACAATGATTTTAACATTCAAACCAAAAAGAATTTTTTATTTAATTGTAAATGATGAAGAATATTTTGGATAGGAGAAAGAAATATGGATATTGACATTCATTTAAATAGAATCTGCTGTTTCATGTGTGGGACACAGCCTCCTTTCCAACAGTCAATTTTCTTATTATGATGATATGGAAAATATGGCTCAAACATTAGCTAAATATATCATTATAAATTTAAATATCCACTAAATCAAAGTAAAATTACAATAAACTAAAACATAGTTTTTTTTTCACCTTTTTAGGCTAATGACGATACAATAACGTTACGATAAAAGTCTACTAAACTAGATATAAGGCCCAAAAATATAATTATGTCCAATAAGACATCGTGATCATCATATCTGAAAAAATGATACTAATTGAATAAAGAAAATAACCAACCACAATAATAAAGCAATTGTTTATAATATCTAAATATAACAATTACACAAGTTTATGTTTGTATGATGTTACGAAATACATTTAATTTCAGATTCTTACCTTAATTTGCTCCAAAAAAATTATTGATTTGAAACTTTATTCGTAGCAAATATTATCACTGAAGGTTTAGAATCTCTTTGTCTCCAATTTGGTATAATGAACTTCAATTCAACTTTGAAAAGGCGCGAAAAATCTGAAAAAAAGTGTGTGGTGCCAATGACTCAAGACTGTATTGGGAGTCGACTGGAGTTCATTTAAATTCTAAAGAGGAAAAAGGCTTTTGATAGATTATGTTAGTTTTGAAATTATTAGATATATATTAGGATTATTGGATAATAATAATAATAATAATAATAATAATAATAA